TATATATATATATATATATATATATATATATATATATATATATATATATATATATATATATATATACCCAATAGTCAAAAAAACTGAGCGTAATTTAATACGTGAGTAAGTTAATTTATTATTTTATCAGATTATCATTGATATTTATTATAAAATGACTTAATTATATAATTATAATATTTTTTAAACCTTCAAAGCATAAAACTTAAAATTCTAGAATGATTATTATAATATTGACTTTTCTCTTCTTCCTTTTTCCATCCAATTATATTTTCTCTTTTTTTGCCTTTTTGTATATTAAATTTGGTTAAATTAATTTTTTTTTCTTTTTCCCTTTTTGTATATTAAATTTGGTTTAATTATCCACCGCCCATTTAAAAAGCTAAAATAATTAACGAACTTCCTCGTGATTTCATAAAGTTATGGAATATTTCTTTTACTTATTTTTTTCGTAGAGATCAAGTACGTTTAAGTATTAAAATTATTACAACTTGAATTAATTTTAATTAATCCAAAGATAAAGTTTGTTGAATAAATCAATATTAAATTCTATAATCTCAAAAGCTAAGCAGAAAGTTACGCCGACTAAAACATATTTTATTCTATTTTCTTATGTTTTTTTTTTTTAAAAAACAACAACTAAATATAATATAATCATTTATTCCCACAGGCTTTTCACTGTACTTTGTGGGTGCGCTTGGTAGGAAGAAAATATTTTTCGCGAAAAATATTTTTTTAAGGAAAATAAGTGAGATTGTGTCTAATACGTAAATAAAATATTATCTTAAGATATTTATATGTTATTTAGATATAGAAAATGTATTAAAAAGTCGAAAAATAAAGATAAAAGTGTATTGAAGGATTCAAAGGTTATATTTACTATAAAATGTAATTTATGAAACTTGTTTTTCTTATATTTATTATGAAAATTTGGTTTTTACAATTTTTTGATTAGTCGAGCGCTTTTGTTTATCTCTTTTATTATTTTCGTTTCAGTTCATGTGATACATTTTTTCTCATTAATTATGTTCTAAAAAGAATGACACGATATTTTTATCTAAATCAATAAATAGTTAATTTTATATATTTTTAATGAGAAAAATTTACTATCACACAAATATTATGATGCATTTAATTTAACATGTATTAAAGTATTAATTATCAAAAAAAAATAAAATATTAAACTGATTAAAGTTAAATCACATAAATTAAAACAGGAAAAGTATCTGAATAATGGTTGCATATGTCTATCATTATTTTTATAAATTAAAGAGAAAGAATATACTCCATATAATCACACACTTACATGCTCACAAGACCAATTAATTAATCTCATATATTATATATAATCACATGAATAGTAATGATTTATTTGCCTAATCATTATGATACTTTTGATTAACATAAAGTGATTAAGAACCATATTTTCAATCCTTAATTAATTATCATATGATTTAATTATATCAGAAATAATTAGTCCTGATACATGAGTATAACAATCTTTCTAATAATTTTATGCACATCTTCCAAAGTTTGGAAAAAAAAACACATATAGACTATATTAATTAATTGAGATTATATATTTTAGTCATGTAGTATTACTTTAAACCATATTTGTTAGGAATTAATCTTTAATTTAATTAGATATATATAATTTATTAATTAGTATAAATATAAAGATTTTCTAGTGTTCAAGAAACTAAGATTTTACAATATCGATCTTAAATAAAGTAGCGACCATGTTCAACTTGCTTAGAACAAAGAGCAATCAGTTAAACACAGCCTATCAAAAACTAAATAAACATATGATGCATATTGATCAAATTAAGACTTATTATGCATATATAATATCTGAAATATCACTTTTAAATATCTTTTACGAAATTTTTAATTCTGATATAATTTTTAGATACGATGTTATTGTTATTGTAGTATTAGTTGAAACCAAATATTTTTTTTTTGGGATGTATAGACATTTGATCAACCTAGAGTAACTCAAGCTTTGATATGTGCGTTGTCCTAAGATGATATGATGAGATTTCACTACAATCAACTTTGCCAATATTCTTCAAAAAACTAAAAATATTGAGATTTTCGATGGAAAATTCTTAGAGAACATTTTCTTTTACGAGTGTTTTTCAAACTGATAAGTGACGATTTTGAAAAACTTGTGCTCTTAGGGCATGTAGACAACTCAATATGTTTGTTTTTTTTTTACTATAAGAAACTTCCTATAAAATTTTAGTTGAAAATTAGAAGATATTGGGAAATAGCTACACCTCATGTTTTTTGTTGGTTTTGTTTGTTTTTTTGAAGGGTGTGATTATGGGTTTTCATGCTCAATGGTACTTTTAGGTGGAAAAGAATGGAAGTGAGATAATAACAATTAAAAAAAAAAAATTGGAATGTAGTGTAAAATTTTATTTTATTTTTAGAAAATATATATTTTATTTCTTGGAAGAAAATAAATATAAGGATAAGGAGGAGAAGACATATTTACACACACTCTCTTTATCTCTCTCTCTCTCCTCACATGAATAAAACTATATAATAAGTATCAAAAAATAAATCGATGACTTTTATTTTATTCGATCGAATTTAAAATAAAAGTCGAATTAATTAATTTTAATTTTAATCAAAAAGTATGAACCTCTAATATATGATATCAAAATTCATAAGCAATTAATCACTATATCCAATTCAATTTAATTTTAACTTTTCTCTCCGTCCAAATAACAAACAAATGAAGCAAATAATTTAATTGCTTCCCTTTTTTTCTTTTTATTTTTTTGGTCCATTTTTAAAATAAGAAAACTCAAGCATTTGTATCAAGTCAACACATTAATTAAGCCGTGTGATGCTTTTTACTAAAAATAGGGCAAATTGATTTTTCCAAAAATCTTAATTATTTTGCTATTCCAAAATCAATTTATGTGTAATTTAACCAAAAAAACATTATGTGGGGGTGGGAGGATAAATAGCTGCGGAGTGAAAAGAATAATAAACTTGAAATATTAGTTATAAAATTAGCGAAGACAATTTCCTCGTTTTTAAGGAAGAAATGTATGTTTCAAAAGGGGTCATAAAATGAACTCGGAAGGGAAGCTACAAGAGCAGGAGGAACACTTTGATTAATCGTAGTCAAGTCGAGTGATCAATGATATAGATTGGGTACAATTACTGATACTCGTTGGTGGAAAGAGACAATATCTCATAAACAAAATGTGTGCAAGAAGATCCAGACATCAAAATTATTAAAAAAACAAATTAATTTACCAAACATGAAAAAATTGAAATTTGATAGATTGGATACCATTACTGATACTCGTTGGTGGAAAGAGACAATATCTCATGAACAAAATGTGTGCAAGAAGATCCGAACATCAAAACTATAAAAAAAGATATTAATTTACCGAACATGAAAAAATTGAAATTTGAGTCGGAGTCTTTTGACTATCATATTTACCCTCAACTTGATATATCTTAGCTGGAGCAAATATGTAACAAAGTGCAATTCAAATACATGAAAGCTCAAATTTGTAGGTTGACTCCAAATATGTGACAAATTTATGACTTATTTTGGTTGCAAAAAATAATAAATTATATTTAATGTACAAGTTAGTTTGAGTTCACACAGGCCATACTATATAGTAGCATAGCATGCATAGCTTGGACATAGATGAAATACTTTATAGAAGTCTTTACATTGAATGTGGGGTCTCTCATTAATAATATACTCCCTCCGTCTCAAAATACCTGTCATAATAAAAATTCAAGAAAAAAATAATCAATTTTCTCTCATTTTACCATTAGCGTCAATTGTTCTTAAAGACTATAAATACCTCGACTACGACATGTAAATAGAGTATAACATTCAGATATAAATAAGGATGCAACAACAACAATATATCCAGTAAAATCACACTAAGCAGGATTTGAGGAGGATAGAACGTAACGCAGACCTTACTACTTCCTCAATGAGGTAGAGAGGTTATTTATAATTAACCCTCGGCTCAAGTATAAAAGGACGAAAATAAGATTAAAATAATCAAATACCCTTCTTAATTAATATTTTCTTAAGCATGTAAATGAAAAATACGACAAGTAGTTTGAAACGGAGGAAGTATACAGATTTAGTAGTCAAATACCTATTCTGATTAATATTTTCTTAAAGGTCGTGTAAATGATGAACACGATAAGTATTTTGAGACAGATGGAAGTATATAGGTTCAAAGGGAGTTAAAACAATTTTATATAGTATAGCTTATAGGTAGATACATTAATTAAAAGAATATATGTTCATATCAAAACAAAGTAAGGGAGAAGACCACAAACTTAATCATATGAAAAGGACAATAAACACATCATTTTCAAATCCTAATTACATCCCCCCACACCCCTACCCAACCCCCACCCCTCTCATGGCCAACTTCCCCCTTATTTAAACCTCTCTATTCCTCTAAACCCTCTCCACACAATTCATTGTCAACTTGAAAACTCATAATATTTCTCTTTTCTCCTCCTTGATCTTCAACAACAACAAAACAAAAAAAAAATTGCAAGAAAAACAAAAGTTGAGTTCATTGCATATTTCTAGAACTTATCTTGATGAATCAATATTGTAATAGTCCTTGTTCACCACTAATGGTTCATGAACTTGAACAAGAAGACTTGTTTGCTGGTAGATGTATACTAGTAAATGGTCCTGTTATTATTGGTGCTGGTCCTTCAGGACTAGCAGTTGGCGCGGGCCTTAAACAACAAGGGGTTCCCTTTGTGATCTTAGACCGCGCCAACTGCATTGCATCCTTATGGCAAAACAGGACGTATGATCGCCTTAAACTTCACCTCCCGCGACAATTCTGTGAATTGCGTTACTTCCCATTTCCACAAAACTTCCCTGAGTATCCTACCAAGTATCAATTCATTAGCTACCTTGAATCTTATGCCAAGAACTTCGAGATCAGCCCACGATTCAATGAGTCGGTCCACTCTGCTAAGTATGATGAAACATGTGGTTTATGGAGGGTGAAGACAGTGTGTAGAAATGGTTCAGTCATTGAATATATATGTAGGTGGCTTGTGGTGGCTACAGGAGAGAATGCAGAAAGAGTAGTGCCCGAATTCGAAGGATTAGAAGATTTTGGTGGACATATTATGCATGCTTGTGACTATAAAACAGGGGAAGTTTATGAAGGGAAGAATGTGTTAGTTGTTGGATGTGGTAATTCAGGCATGGAAGTTTCACTTGATCTTTGTCACCATAATGCAAGTCCATTCATGGTCGTTCGAAGCTCGGTAAGTCTCATTCATCTAATCCAAAATCTTTCATGACTTACATCTGCTAAAGAAGAAAAAAAAAAACACTCAATTTCCTTCATAAATCTGCACACGACATATCGAATTCCTCATGACACATACATAAGAGGTCACTCCTTTAATAATCTACATGATTTACGTTTTCTAAGAGAAAAAAACACTCAATTAACTTGAGCGCGTTTTGTCTATGTCCTTCATTTGCCAGAAAATCTGCACTTGACATCTCTAATTCCTCATCACAAGTCTATATATATAATCATCATATGATATGTAATGAAATAATCAATCTAGAAAATCTGCACCTGACATCGCTAATTCCTCATCACAAATATATAATCATATGATATCTAATGAAATAATCAATCTTTTCATGAAACAGGTTCATGTTTTACCAAGGGAAATACTCGGAAAATCAACGTTTGAGTTAGGAGTATCAATGATGAAATGGCTATCAATTGATGTAGTTGACAAGATATTACTAGTTGCAGCAAGGTTACTTCTTGGAAACATAGAAAAGTATGGTTTAAAAAGGCCATCCATTGGACCTTTACAACTCAAGAATACAGAAGGAAAAACTCCAGTTCTAGACATAGGTGCATTACAAAAGATTAAAACAGGAGACATAAAGATAGTTCCAGCAATCAAAAAATTTTCTCAAGGAAAAGTAGAATTTGTCAATGGAGAAATACAAGAAATTGATTGTATCATTTTGGCAACAGGATATTGCAGCAATGTTCCTTCTTGGTTAAAGGTAAGAAAAAAAATATTTTTTTTATTTTTATTTTGGTTGTGTATTTATTTTTTAATTTATGGATTGTTGTGACAGTTATGGAAGTTGGTTTTTTTCTTTGTAGATTCTCTGTTCCTATTTCTTGTAGCATTGTTATGTATGATCAGGTGGATGATACACGTATTCTTTTATACTATGGTAATTAATATTTTCAGAAACAAGATTGAGCTTTCCAAGAAAATAGTTGAATGGATTAGATCAGAGATCTGAGCAGCAAATAAAATTCTGTTTTTTGTCCTTTTTTCTATGTTCAAGAATATTTTCATTGAATTTTGGTATAATGAGTTTGTATTCATTTTTAAAATGCAGGAAAGTGAATTCTTTTCAAGGGAGGGATTTCCAAGAAGTCCATTTCCAAATGGATGGAAAGGAAAAGCTGGTTTATATGCAGTTGGATTTACAAAGAGAGGACTTTCTGGTGCATCTTTGGATGCAATTAAAGTATCACAAGATATTGGAAAAATTTGGAAAGAAGAAATTAAACAGAAAAATCAATCTGTTGCTGTTGCATGTCATAGAAGAAACAAGTTATCTTCCTTCTAGTAAACGACAACAACATACTCAGCATAGTCCTACAAGTAGAATCTGGAGAGGGTAGTGTGTACGCACATCTTACCTCTATCTATTGTTTCTAATAGACCCTCCAAGTTACCCTTCTAATATAATTTTTTTATATTTTTTTTTTAACTTTTTACCTTTTCTTCCTGTAATTTTTACTTGCAAAGTAACCAAAAAAAAAAAAAGTAAAGACCATTTTGTGACAAGAGACAAACACAGAAAGCAGCCCTGTCCAGAGAAATACCCAAATTCTTCTTTGGGCATTTTAGTAGGAAGAAGAGGCTTTTTTTAGCATCTACTTCTAAGGAGAAATTTGTACAAAAGGTTTATTAATATATGTACTAATAGAAAAAATGTGACTATATATATATATATATATCCTTTTCTTGGTAAGTAATTTAACCAGTATCTTTTAAATAGTAAGGGAGGTTATACAGTAGTCCCTAGCCAATATATATATATATATATATATATATAGATTATACACAATTCCACACATATATTATGTAAATCATGAGCTAAGTTGTAGAGACTCTTCAAAAAGATCGATGGATATGTATCGTTGGGGGAATCTAACATAGATGTGACAACATTTTTGGAGTCCGAGCAACATAAATAATGAGGGCTTCAAGGCCTGTGAAGGGAAATTAACCTTCTGATATTGTAAAAGTTGGTTAAAGAATGGTCAAGGGTAATAGGAAGGTTCTCTCACTCAATAAATTTTGGTCCACCTAAGTCATTTATTCTACTGATGGGATCTATCTCTAGAACATGGTCCACCTAGGGGCCCCATTAAATATGGTGGACCAAAATATCCATAATTCCACAACATCCATTCTTTAAATTTAAAGATGACATAGACTTTTCACTAGTTTAGTTCAAGAAAATACCTATGCATAACTCTTAGAGCACCTCCATGTTGCCAAGCACATGGATAGAGCCCACAGAGAAGAGAGAAACATAGGGGGTAAAAAGATCCCCTTGCCTTCAAGTCAAACTTGGAAGGTATTCTGTCTATATTGCTAGGACTCTTTAAAAATGTCACTATGTGCATGTCGGATCTATCCTCCGAAAGTAGCACATTTTTTAACCAGTCTTAGCAACATACAATTCAATGGTAAAAGCACAACATGTTATGAGTGTTTTACACTTTGTTGTGGACAATAACCTGGTATATAGAAAAGGTAAAGGAACAAACTCACTATTCATTGAGTTTCGAACCATGCACCAGCTAACTAGCCCTCAGAAATTTCTCGATTATAAGAACGAAAAAGTCAAACTTGGAGAATAGTTTGATACTATTTGATCTTTCTAAATCTTTCACATGTATAATATAATATACTTTTAAGAGGTTTCTCAAATTGGATAGAATTTAGAACACCATACCTCAGACCAATGCCATATGAGTCTAGCTAGCTCAGTCATTGTCACCTAGTAAAGTGAGAAGATTATCTTGAACTTTATAGGGGTACAACTTCATGGATTGGATAGTTCAAAGAGTCATCCTGAAGTTATCATATTCCCCTCTTCACAAGTCAAAATATTTATAACATTGACTCACAATATCTCATTATAACAGATTGCCTTACCAAAAATAGAAAAATATGAAAAATAGAAACAATGAATAATTTTATCCATCTAGCCTAGCCACACCTATCAGCAAATCCTATATGAATCATTGCCATGTTAGCATCCTAAATTTTTTTCTCCTGTATCAATCTTCTTTATTTGGTTCCTGTACAATGTCCATAAACTGAAATGTCCTAAGAGCATCACATTGTAACAATAGATGCCTCGTTCATCATTCGAATTTTTAATTCTCTCTATCTTTTCTAATAAGAATCTAAAAGAGATAGGATGAGGGAGACAGAATATACATTTGATAGTCAGTTCGATGAATAAAAATCTCGAGAAAACTATTCAATTGAATCATTGGGGAAGGGGGAAGAAGAAGGTTGATTATAGGTTCAGAGGAGTGGTCCATGGTTGTCTCCTTGGTAACAAATATTATTTCCTGTTATGTAACAATCTTATAATATAAAAAAATGGGAATTGAACTTCTTTTCAATGAGATCCAACATGACTTAAATTTCCCATTGCACAATGAACAAAGAACATAAAAAAAATTCCACTGACAGAAAAGATTTAAACAAAAAGAAGAAAATCCAAAGAAGTAGTACATATATAGACAACCCATATGAGTTCCCATGCTGTTGAATCAACCATGCAGCAAACCTTTATCTACTGTCCCATCTAGAATTGCTTCACCACCACATAAAAAAAATTCTTGTAAAAACAAATATAGATATATTATATACAAAAAAAAGACAGTTTCAAACCTTAAATTAATGAATGTAAAACACACACAGCTCATGTTCCTCAACTTGATCCATGCAAAGTGTTTGAATTTAACACTTCTCTACCAGGAACCTACAGTTTCTATTATGTCTTTTTGCAGTGTAACTTGTATTTTTTTCCACACCTTGCAACCAGGGGCAGAGCTACAGTTCTGCCTACGGATTCGACATTATTGAGAAATACAAGTAAAAGCTTTTAGATGAGATGATCAAACACTTCAACAGACACAACTCAATAGCTGTATTTGTGTTTTAAAATTTATTTACTACGATTAGATAAGAGTGTAATCCCACCTGCAAGGTCTGCGGAGGGTTTAGTGTTTGAACACCTTACCTCATCTCGTGGAGGTTAAAATTTATTTAATATGTATAAATAATATATCCATAAATCAGTAAGCTACATTTTCTAGAATTCAGAACTCGTAAACTCAAAATTCTTGTTCCGCCTCAGCTTGCAAACCTATTATTAGATATCACTTTTACCGAGAGAGAAATACACATGGCCTGGGTCACTAACTATATCCTCAAAGTTCCATGAGAAAGCCCATTCCTTCATGCCCTGATAAGCAGTCAATTTGCAAGTGTTAACTTGAGTTGGATGGTGGACACTACATCTTTGTATCTTACTGTTGCATGTCCTACTAGAAGAGTGTGTATCCTGTGATTGGTGAAGTTAAAATATATGAAGCTTATATAGGTGTCCCATATAAAACATGAGATAATAGTGGTGGAGCACCCTTGTCCAAGGGGTGTCAATTTGTTGAAAAATCACATTGTATAGATAGATAAGAAAATTCATATATACTATATGTTGAATCTCCTTTACTTCTTCGTGTATTTTTACCGACTTCCCTTGGTGAAATCACAGTCCACCAATCATCTTTCATAATCATTGACTAATACTTTTAACCATTTCCAAAAGAAATTTGAAAAATGAATTTACATATCATAGTACTTTGAACATGGATTGAAACGATGTTTCGAAAAATATAAATCATCTTTCAGACTTCACACTGGAGATAGGTTGAAATGACTCTTGATAAACTACATATCACATTCAGTTTGAACCAGAAGACAAACAGAACAATATCTTAAGCAAAGCTAAATCAAATGTGATATCATGGATTTACTATCAAAAGCACAAGCATTTGAAACTAAATCACATACATGAAGAGTTGTTTTTACCAATGGTCAACATAGTTAATTATTATAAAAGGAATTACAATTCTATCAAAAAGAGTTAATTCTGATGTGTGTTTAATTAGACACTATACACGTACATGAAGAGTTGCAATCACCAACATTTTTTTGATAACCATGGTGTACGGGTTAGCTCGCACGCACCTCGACTACTCTATGGGATACTTGCTACCTTCCACCAGCATAGGTACCGGATAACTTTGTTCACCAAAGCTTGAGTTGCAAATGCCAAAGTTCTACCATCAAATTATTCACTTTTTGGAAAGCATTTGATCAATTTCTCCACTCTCGTTGTACATGCTAACAATTTTCTTTGCATATTCAGGCATATGTCTGTCCGCTCTGCAATTACACAAAAAACACGTGTGAGAAAAAATTAATGTAATCCATCATAATGGAACAAATATGAATTTCTACAGACCTTTCTTTTCCCCATTTGCGGACTACGTTTAAGTAATTTCTGATTGTGTGATAATCTAGCGAGTAACGTGCAAATTCTAGACCCTTCGGTCCGACCTGAACCAAGACAAACAAGTTTAAGCACAGGGAATTTGTTGTCCTTTCTGAAAGTAACAAGTCAGTGAACAAAAAGTTCTTACTATGTTGAGAAGAAATGCTATTAAATTTCCAACAAACTTTGGAGCAGGTTGAGAAGGACCTCTTCCTGGAAATTCAGAAAGTTTCTGCATAAGTCTTGTGAGATTACTGAGAAGTTGTTCAACAAAAATATTTACTTCAAGAACATGTCAGAAAAGGATTTACTTCTCGGGGTTCTGCCTTCAGCATACTGTAATCAACGGGGAGTATCATAACAAATGAAGTAATTGAAGCAACTTAAATAGCTAAATTCACTTGACTTACAAGGATTAAAACAAATTAAGGTTAATCTTAAATAAACAGTCGATGAGATGTGTAACATTTCATACTTTTTAACAGCATTCAAAGCGAAAAGGGATAGGGAAAAAGGTCAGATGTTTGATACTTGCACATGGACCCAACAAAGAACAGTACAAAACCCGAGAGCAGATATCTAATTCTGAACCAGCAGCAGTATGTGTACAGAGAGAGCCAGCTTAGTAACAACTTATGAAATGAATAAATATCACAAAATACCACATACCAAATTTTGCTTCATCATCTGCCTTCACGGTTTCCACGACAAATGGACGCCGCTTACCCTGAAAAAAGATGCATGCTTTGAAATAAGTATATCACAAGAAAGAGTTAAAAGAAAAAGTTGTGAGATGAAGCATCATGTATTACACTACTTATCGTCGGAGTAATTTCCAAGAGGTTCTCGATAAGGTTTAGCATTTCTCTACCACGTTCATTTCTGCATTTGGAATGTGCAAAAGTATATCTTAAACAAGATTATTTAAGGGTAGAGCTATCAGCATGTCCTTTTAATCTGTCAACGGCTTATAAGATTTGGCAACACTTTACCTGACAGTAACATACTGGGGATGCTGCATCATGCTGATTCCACTGTATTTCGGCACACCCATGTATCCCACCACCAAATCCTGACAAGTTCCTTGAAGGTAAGATTTGAAATGTTGGCATATGCACCGGGATTATCAAGCTTTGCTTTTATTTAAACGAAATAATCTGTCACGTTAATGTTTGGAAACTACTGTAATAGAGAAAGACATCGACTAATAAATCTTCCAAGGAGCAAAAATACTTAATTTTCATGGATAATAAGATATGCAGCATCGAATCTTCAATGATACGATTCTAGAAACCTTAAAGAGTAAACTTATGACGGAACCATAATGCATTACCATCCAAGACCAAAATGAGTTTGCTAAAAGATCCCCCTTGGACCTCAACCACTGAATCTTATCTCCAGATCTGTCACAAGCTTTCACTTGAAAACAGTTGGAGCAAATGAGTGGCCAGGTCTAGCTCTAGAACCTATAAATTCCTCAATGATCGAGGCTGCCTTTGCAAAACCTCTTTCCCTGTCAGAAAACTACGCACTAGAAAAAGATCTGTTTGTGAGACATAAAGAGAGAAGAGATCTATTCAAGATTAACGATTTGATGACTATAATACAGACCTATTTATAAGTTCCAAACATAGTAGACAAATAGACATTTGCAAATGCAGGAAATTACACCAGTAAAATTTAATATTCCACCAGTAACACATCACCTTTCAGAATCTAAGACTAATCAAAGTAGCATTTAAGAGTATGCTTTCCTTTGCTATTTGAAAGTCTAACACATGTGTATGTACTGTGCACATGCTTCTCTTGGATGTTTATTTTGTCTGTTTCTTTGTGAAAATTGTATTGTGCAATATATCAGGGCCTTTAATTATGAACAAAGAACTCACCGCCAAGCCATTTGTGTAGTCAAAACAGCTGTAATAGAAGGAAATAACAGTTTACAGATCAGCACAAGTTCATATTCTGAAGAATGAGAGACAGGAATGAAATATATGATAAATGCGAATGTAGGAAACGTGAAGCTTGTATAGAATGTTCATTTAGACTTCTCCAACTGCATAGCATCTTTACATTTGTAGACAAGCTGAAATCCATGTTGACATTGTCTAAAAGAATGTGTTATTAGTTTGATTGATTTCTTTGTTGCCTAAACTGACACGGCAGGGAATGCTACCATATGCAATAAACCCAACGACAAGTATAGTTTTACATGGCTTATCCAACTTGATTTAACCCAATTGTCCATATCAGAGCGACAACTTACAAGTGAGAACCAGAGATCACATAGAACGTAATAAGCCCATGACACTACCTTCGTGCACATACTAACATACTTATGTATACTTCTCCCTAGTTTATGCTCCACAAGTGAAGGAATTTCTCAATACGAATGTAACTGAAAAATAAATATATTAACTATTAGGAAGAAAGACGGTTCCTGAAGATTTTGTTTGTCATCAAATTTGTTAATCTACATAATCTTTGTCTGCACACCAAATTTTCTTCCACAGATTTTCACCCTTACTCCATGAACAAAGTATCTAGAATAGTTTGACCAAGAACGGATATTACGAGCATTATTGAGATCATTGTTTCTTTTGATTCATAAGTGGGTCCAAAAATGAGATGGGAAGTTACATTTCTATGAACTTCATAAGAAAAATAGTTGGCATGCAATAATTTTTCGAGTAATTAACACATTTTTTTAAAAAAGAATATCCAGTAGATCGTCTAAGTAGCTCACTTAGAGAATGTCGCCTACGACGGTTTGACTACATCCCACATAAACTTCCATATCCATATAGGTGATACCAACTAGATAGGATGCAGTCATTGAAGCATAGTTGTTGCTACGCTTGCATAAGTGCTTGTCAAGGGTCTTTTTATTCTTGTTGAAAACTAGTATATCCACGTAGGGATAAGGGTGATATTTCACATCTTTAGTTTGCTACGGTTCCCTGCGGTCCAAACCCGGTGCCGCTTTAGGTTAGGGAGCTGGACGATACCTTATAACACGAATTATTAGATATTGGAAAAAAATTGACCTAACAGAGCACAATGGATGCTGAGGATACATAAAGCCACCCAAACTAATGTAGGATTAATTTATAGTTGATTGACTAATTGGATCAACTCATAGAGGGAAAGAAAGAATCATTTCCATGAGCACAAAGAGATGGAACAAAAAAATTATATTCAGACTTGTCCACCACCGACCTCTGACCCAAAAAGTCTACAGGTTAAGTATGCAGATATTGTTTAAAGGCTTCAGTAAATCAATAATAAGCAATTGAAATACCTGTAACAAGATGGTGCAATAACATCAACCAAGTCATTTGCTGGTAAACAGAAATAGGGAACCTGCTTAGTGAAATATAGATCTGAATAAACAGCATTCAAATAAAACAAAAGATACGAAAAAGAAGATGCTATTTTACCTCTTCAATATGGCCATCCAAATGCTTCAGATGGACCTGTTGAAATGTAGAGCTTAGACAGATGCTTCAACTGATTAGAAAACTATCACATGCAATTCAATAGTATATCCTTTAAATCATAGTAAAAGAAGAAAGCTATAATATGGTTTACAGGATTAACTGTCAAATGTTTTCATCTATAAGGTGATGAAGCACATGTGAGCTTAATTTAGTCTTTCTCATTTGCAAGATCCTACTTATTGGTAAATTTCTGATCCAACAAAGGATAGTAACCCTCCATCAAATTCAACACGACACCAGCGGACGAGGCATGGTACTTGAGATATTAATTTGATTTGTGTATTTTATAGGTAGTAGTTGAGGAAAATTTTAAAATATTTTTGTAAACGAAATTAGGTTGACATAGAAATGCCAAATCAAACCTTAATAATTTGACTATTCAAACATATTAAAATTTGAGAAACTGATGAAGTTGTATAAAGTTATATTGTTAGTAAGATGGTGTCAAAGATTTTTGTACGCCCAAAATAAAGATGTGTCATATAAAATTTATCAGGATGGAGACAATATGATATATTGAAGTGCATCTTCATGAGTGAACTTACCTCACCAACCAAATGAAAACATATTCTAGAAAAGCACCCTAGTTATCAGACTAAGAAAGGCTGTTTACTGATGTTTTAGAATACAACAGAAGCAGAAAACATATCGTCATGACAAACACAGAATGTAGAAGTTGGTTTCCTTGTTCTTATACTTGAATGGATAGAATTCCAAGATCACAGAGGTTATGCATAAGTTGTCTCACAATGAAGCTCAGCTTGTCATAAAAGAGTAACAGGAGCTTACTTTTTTTTCTTTATGGAAGAAATATAACAGTAGCACACCTTGTAGTCTTGCATAAACTCATAGTGGAGAACTGTTTCAGGTTCACTGCTAGCAGCCTTCAGAAATTTATCTAAACCTTCTCGTGGTCCATTATCCACTGTTGAGAAATGACAGTTAGTATAGGTCTATATTGACTAAAAATATCTAAGAGGGGAAAGGAGATTCTAATAAAAAGCAGTTTATAGAGCATCCCTCTTACTATATACTCCCTCCATTTCAATTAATTGTCTTATTCCTTTTCAGTCCGTTTCGAAAAAAATATTTCTTTCCCTTTCCTGAAACTCTATAATTCCAACTTTCCACATAGCCTGTTTGAAACCACGAGTTAAGAGGTATTTTGGTACATTCTACATATTTATAGTTTAAGAGTTAAGACCACGAAATTCAAAAAGTTTTCTTTACTTTCTTAAACTTTGTGACAAGTAAAAACCACACAAACAAGTTGAAACAGAGGGAGTATCATAAAAGATTCCATTGAATCTTTGTCCAGTTTGTCCACTTACTATATGTCTTATTTTCTCTCCCTGCTTCTGTGGTGGACAAACTGAAAAAATTAAGTTGACTCTTTTTTGAGATACTAACAACAAACAAGTACTCCTACTGGTGATGTTAATAGATCAAACTTTTTGTTATTTAATTTAAAAAAAGATCAAAATTAGATCTCCAAACACACGTAATTACAAACATAATCAAATTTCAAGCAGTTGGTAGTTATATTAGAATTGATCAAAGATGTAGGAAAGGAGTCTATGAATACCACCGACTACTCACCACAGTTAGTGCCTAGAACATAAAGTTTTTCCAGATTCAAATATTGCTCCACTGATCTTAAAGCTGCAAGTTAGGAAATTGTTCTGCTTAAAATACAGAGATGTAAATTGTAATGACAACATCAAGTTTGAAGCAGAGATGAAGAGATCATAACAACTTGGATACCTTGAACTTGGCAGCCAACCCCGCAGAAGAGAAGGCGCTTTACACCAGCTGCCTGTTTCCAGGAAACAATACTGCTTACTTCAACATTTGAACTACAAGTTATACTATACACTTGTGTGACAATCCTCAGTGAAAACTGGAATCTCTTAAAGCCCAGTTTTTAATGCATTAGAGCATGCACGACTAGAAAGTGTGAAATTCCATGATTGCATTGTTATGAAAAGAAATAACAAGAAGCCTACCCTTACAAGTGTGATATGCAGATGGTTGATGCTTACCAAAAGAAAGGGAGAAAGCATTTGGGGAGAAATAAGCTCAAATAGTTAAAATAAAGTCAAAAAATAACCTACGACCTTCAAATGGATAGAGAGGAAAAATTTGGCAAAAAGACTCTGAAATTGTCAGGAAAGGAATTCAGCTCGAACCATAATATGGAACAAATCAGAAAATCAAAAGAGCTTATCTTAATAAAATCCCCGATTGGGGCAATTACAGTATTAGATTGTGGTGGTCTGACGGGGGGAGGGGGGGTGATAGTAAAGCTAATTTGGTGGTGTGGTGAAGAATAAGAAAGCATAGCTACACAAGTTCCAATTACCTATTGAGGAGAGATATGGCATCTTCAATCCATGACAACATGCTCCATTAAGAATTCAATAGAGTTACACAGATTATAAATGCATTGATGACAACAGAACAATCAAAGATTCTGATGATAATGGAAGTGAAAGAAGAAACCTCAACTAAGGCAAGAGTATTTAGATTAGGAGACAGTGTCGGCTTAACACCTTTAGCTGCTATAACTTCCTCTGGAGTCCTATTAGAAACATAAAATTAAAGTTGAAGATCGAAATGGTTAAATTAACAGGTAAAAAATCAACATGAATACAAATAGCTCAGGAATTCCCAGTCACAAACCTTGCCAGGACAGGTCGAGGAGCAAATCGATCTTCTGGATCACTAAACAACATAAAAAAAAGAAGGTAAAGAGTCCATGAATTGCTGGGTAATAAGTAGAAGAAAGAAACCAAAATTTCAAGTGCATAACTCATGTACAGTGAAATTAACCAGGAGGGAGAACTAAATTATTTTTAACCAAATTGGATGCAAGCCATACCTCTGAACACAAATAACAGCTTCCACCATCCCAGCTTTTAGCATCTCCACGGCAATAGTTGTCACTATCCCCGTCCATTGAGCTCCTGAATGCCAGAAAGAAAAAGATAGGAATATGACCAGATGATTCATAGAAATTGGCACATTCTTTTAGTGATCTAGAGAGCACAAGAAAACAAGCAACAGTAAATTGAACTAGAATACTACATAAGAGCATCCAAAGTTGTACCTTCCACAGGCTTAGTTTTACGAGCATACAATAGATTCTCATACACCCCCATATAAATCTCATCCAAGGAATCTTCTTTCCGTCCTCGTCCATGGACAATAGGTTCCAAAGCCTAAAGAAGATGATAAGGAACAGTCAACATCATCTGGTCACTTTACCATAAGAAATACTATCTGTACTTTGAGCTACTTCATATAAATTTGACCAAAAGAGAAGGTCCTAATAGCATAGCATGACTGAGTTGAGAACGCATTCCAAGGAACTGCTACTCGTAGCAAGCACTGAAGTTTTTTAGTGAGTAATCAAATCATTCTTTCTCATAAAAGAACTTACATGCACCCCCTGTCACCCTCCACCCACCAGTCAAACTAAAGACGGAATAATTTTCAAACTTTACCAAGTTCCTTTGGACAATAACCAAAAAAAAAAAAAAATTGTATAGAATTGGGGAAAAAAGTTTGACCTGTCACGAGATTACGTTGTACCTGTAAACTATGCTAAGCTGTATGAAATTATTAAACAGAAGGTAGAAAAAACAAAGAAAAGAGAAAAGAGAAGAGGACAGATGTACACCATAGCGAAGACTTTGATGGAGGTCTATGAATGTTTTCCCATCGCCCTATGAGGAGTCTGATTAGAGTCCGACCATACTGTGTTTCAGTATAACATTATCAACCCCATAAATTTCAGTATGTCGAGATTATGTTAACAACTAGAGAAATCATTCTTATGAAGATCCACTATACGTGTCTTGTACCTTGTGTAATTTATAGCTCTATAATAATGCCTAAAACTTCATTTATTCCATATCTTGTCAACATTCAAAGCAGCATACCTTTTACCCAAGAGAGTGAAACAGAAATATAAAATTCAAACATGCTTGTCAAAAGAACTAGTTGGGGTCGGAGGCGAGGACCAGTGAACCCATCAAGTTCTAGTATGCAACTTTTCCTAATAACAAAGTGTTAAAAACTCTCATGCTCCCAACAGAAGGGATTTTAATGGAAGTGGAGTGACCAAAGAAAGATGAATTCAATTGCACACGAGCTAATAGTGGATTACACGGTCTCAGAGAACATGAACCAGTACTCTCTCTGAGCATCTTTCTAGCTTGCAAACTTTTCTTATGACTTCCACAACACACTGCAATATCACAGCCAAGTCTTGTTTCACTGCATACACTGTACATATTCATAAGATGTAAATCCATATGGATGAGATAGCTTTTCAAAGGACACAAAAGACAAAACAAAATTCACAGGGAAAATCTGCATGTGACAATGAAAGCATGCAATAATCAAACTCCAGTAGGTCATTTATGACAAACTTAAGGAACAAAAACTAGGCATAAACAATAAGAACTGCAACTAAAAGCAACAGTATCTACATGTACTAAAGTAGAGAAAGACTCACTTCAACTCTAGACATGCCATCCCCCAAGAAAGCACATGCATTATTCACATGAGCAATGTAGTAAGTGTCACACAAACCACAGTGGCTGCAAACCAGAAACAAAAACTACCATCAGACAAAAAACTACTATAATGATTACGAAATAGTCACAAAATATACAAGAAATTAATTTAAATAAGTATGAAGATGAGTGATTAAATGATACTAACTTATAATCCTCAAAAACATTGAATTAGTATATAAATAATGTTAATTATTATTTACCAATTTCAAAAAAAATGCTAATTAATATATATGATATTCTTGTGAACGTCAAAACTTATATTTCAGTCTTCCAAACAATACTTCATCATTCAAGCTCCTTTTTTTTCCATTCTACAAAATTTGACCCAACTTAGGACGAATTGATATGGAAAGCTACGATGCTTCAAAGACCCAATGAAATGCTTCCTCCATTTCAAATTGAATACTTCAGGTTCTTTTTTATACTTCATGCCAAATTAATGCCCAATCTCCCTCATATTTATAGTTCTTTCACATTTACTATGAAAATTGAACCATTATAGTTTCCGAAAAGGGAGAACTCTTCAAACACATATTAGTTTAAGACACTCTCTCCGTCCGGTATTGTTTGTCATGGTGTCTATTCATAGAGTCAAACTATAAAAACTTTGACTAACATTTTAAGGTGTATTTTTTCATCGTATTAATATGCAAAAAATTGCAATTTATAGTACTTTTCATATAGTTTTAAAATATCTAATTATTTTGTTTAAAATATCGAATTAATGTGATTTAATTTAACTTTGAAAATTAGTCAAATTGACTTTCAAAAAACACAACATGACAAACAATATTGGACGGAGAGGGAGTGATTCATAAATAGACACCTTAACTTTGCTTAACTAACAACTAAATACTCCAACTTTAAGAATGCACATCTAGACGGTCTCCGAGACACCCGGCACTATATGTCTAGATGATCATTTTGTACGTTGGGAGTGTTTAACTCACACAGCCAAGACCAGTTAAGATGCACACTTTGAGTGTTCAGTTGCCAATTGAGCCCAACCTAAGATATCTATCTATGTATTTATGTCATAGTTTAAAGATAACAAATAAAAATAACAACTTTTTCACTAGTCTAACTTACAAAAACTAAAAACTTCAAAAAAAAAATACATAGAAAAATGATCAAGCTACGCAATTTACCTCCCATTACAGCATTAAAAGCTAAAATTTCAATTATATTAAGAAAAAAAAAAGCAGAATTATGAACCTGCAGTGGTCTTTAGCTGGATAAGTCCCACCAGGAGGAATAGGTCGAGATTTTTTCCTCCAATCTTCTCTAATTTTCACTGATTTCAGGTTTTGGTTTGCATCTGTTGAGTAATTCAAACAACATCAACACACAAAGTTTCAATTTTTTTTAAAAAAAAAACTCATAGCAAAAGTTTGTCATTTTTTGTAAAAAAAAGTTCCTCTAAGAGGATTTTGTTCAGTGAATGTAGAAATGGAGAGAAACAAAACCTTGTTGTTGTGAAGAAGATGAAACAGTGTAAAATTTGAAGGGTAAAGTAGAGATTTTTCCAGTAAGAAACGCCATTGTTGCTCTGTGTATCTGCACAAGTGTTTTGCGCCACAAATATATATCAAATGAGATTCTTTTAAGGGTGGAACCAAAACGGTGTCGTCCGGTATTTAATTAATTTCTACTTTTTATTTTTTTGGATGAGTAAAAAAAGTGAAATATTAAATATTTAGAAAATTAAGAAATAATTTTAATTATTTATAAACAATGAATCGCTGAAAGTGATTCGAACGAATCCTTTTGGTCCTACCTAGCTTTGCTCCTGAATAAGTACTCGATAACATATTGTGTTGAAATTTTGATGAGATAAACAACACATACCATATCATTTCACTGAAGTAAAATCATATAGTCGTTCATATGAATACTCAAAATAGGGTGGCTTTTAATTTTTGTTCGTCGGATCAATAGTCTTTGAAAATACAATCGTAAGGCATATGTTATGTCATACAAAACTTATGCCTCTGTAGACATAAGTTCAATTTCAAAACATTATACCTTAAAAAGTTCATAAAGTCACAAATTATATCTTATAAGGTATAGACGTAAGTCCTACATAACATGTCGATGGGAGTATAAGTTCCATTTTCAAAACTTGGAAGATTAAACCTAGAGAAGTTCATTACTCGCTATATCTTATAAATCATAAGTCCCGTTTACAAAACCAGCAAAATTGAGAAGTTCATGAGTCACTATATCGGAAAAAAAGTGGTGGTTTAATTGGAGCAGCCCATCAGGCATTAATGGAACTTGGAAGGCACCGATAACGATATAAATCATAAGTCCCGTTTACAAAACCAGCAAAATTGAGAAGTTCATGAGTCACTATATCGGAAAAAAAGTGGTGGTTTAATTGGAGCAGCCCATCAGGCATTAATGGAACTTGGAAGGCACCGGTCCGTTATCCTTCCACTGCACAAAGCGGAAGTTTTTCGTTGCTCTGTGAAACCAGCCTCACGCGGTCCACCCCACTTTAGGAATCTAGTAGCCCATTCTTTCAATTGGACCACATGATCCAACTCTGTGCTTGGATAGGGCAGGCCAGAAATTAGCCCACCAAGCCCAGCCATCTGGGACAGCCCAATATTCCACCACCTTAACATCCCCACTTGGGTTACAAGCCCACGTTACTAAGCTCGACATACAATATTGCATCATAGATTATTATAAAAATAAAAAGAAATATGTCCACTAACGATGTGGGAATTGGAATATTGCTTGTTCTCTATAAACAAAGCATATACTATTTTGAAAATATAAAGTTTGATTTTATCATTAATATATTTTGATTTATTAGTTTGTTGTGTTACTTGATTTAATTAGTACTAGATATTTGTTTGTTTCTTGCCTTTTTTGTTCTCATTAATAATTTTGCTTCACTCTAACTTGCATTTAGGAACTGGATAGTAAATCAAGGCCACGTCTTCGATTGAGAATAAGTGAAAATTCTCGAGAAGAGTAACATCTACGTAGTTAGTATTTGGGAAATTAAATGGGTGAAAACCAAGATAAAAGATATAAACGAATTTAAATTATGATACACGTGAAGCTCAAGCAAATATGAATATGGAGTAAATATTTTTAGATTTATTGTGGTAATTATTTCCTTGAGAAGCATTTTCATAAAGTAGTAATTTACTCGTTGGTTGCCACATTTGGGTACATGAAATATTTACTCAAAACATTAACATCTCTTAGATATAAGTTGTTTTTCTATGGAAGAAAAGATATCGTCGAAATTAGAATTCTCACTAGGGAGATTCAAAATACATTCGAATGAAAAAATGGTTTTATAGACCAAAAAGTGGAGCAGCCCATCTGACGATTCTGGGACTCGGAAGGCATCGACGTGCTATCCTTCCAACGCTTAGAGCAGGAACTATTCGTTGCTCTGTGAAACCAACCTCACGCAGTCCGTTCCGCTTTAGGAAATAGCAGCCCACTCCTTCGATTGGACCACAAGGCCCAACTCTGTACTTCGATAGGGCAGGCCAGATATAAGCCCAACCATTTGGATGACCAGCCCAACATTCCACCACACTAATGCCCCCACTTGGGTTACAAGCCCATGTTATTGAGCCCAGCAAGCAGTGTTGCTTCATAAAATAATAAAAACAAAGGAAGATTACTATACAATGACAATGTGCCACATTGTTGTCATAAATATAAAATCTAAATATATTTCTAAGAAAAATCAAAACATACAATTAATACTTAATTTTGCTTTATAACTAATATGTAAAGAAATGAAATATATTGGAGTGATAAGTGTAAGTTTTATAAAGTGGATATTTGATTAGCTAATGTTGTATGAAAAGAAGTGTTGATCAGTATCAAATTTGTACGTTCAAAAGCTGAAAGTAACAGAAATTAGTATGCTGAGATGGATGTATGAACGAGCATACTAAGAAAGATAAAATTAGAAATGCAGATATTCTAGACAAAAGGGGAGTGAAGAGAAGGCGTAAGATATTGACTTGTGGGGAGTCTCAAGAAAGATAGAGATAGGCCGAAAAAGTTACCGGAGAGAGATGATTGACACACCTAGACTCCTATAGTTTATTGAATAAATAATCTAGAAAAGAGAATATGAAGAGGAAGGTCAGTACGTAATCAAGCATTGTCTAATTTCTCTTATCGACATTAGTATTACTCGCCTGGTATCTTATATCTTCAACTTTTTACATTTTTTTATGACTTGTATTTTCTTTTCATACTATCGTTCATATAGGTTACTTTGATCGAGGGTCTATCAGAAACAGTCTCTCTATCTTTCACGAGGCAGTAAATAGAAAGACCAAAGAAAAAAAATGGTTGCTAAAAGCTCAAAGGACAGCCAAAATCATCTTTTTGATATATTGGGCTTTTCTTAAGCCCCAGCTTTCAACAAATACAACACAAGGAATACAATGTCAAAAGATCTAAACATCATTTCCACATGAAAAGTAAGAAACATTTGAAGTTTTTTTCTCTCATGATTGACAACTAAAACACATCTTGATCTTCATTACAATGTTTGATAAACGAATTCTCTTGTAAACAACACGGTCATGTTTTATTGCCAAAACTGTCGAGAACAGCTATTCCATCTTCCAAAATGCCTCTTAGATACAATTTGCTTCTTCTGGGGGAAAAGAATGCAATGTGTGTGTATAAACCATGGATAATGTACAAAATCCAGACTCCGTTTGGCTACAAAAATGCAGGGCTGGAGAGAAGAAAAAGACCAGCTTTTCGCAGGGATAACTCATCATTGTTCGCTTGCCATGGAGATTAAAGAAGCTTGCTAGTTCGTCGTCTTGGTGGCCCTCCAGGAAATAGTTTCATGATCCATCCCAATACCCGTTCCACCACCTGATCAAAACGAGAAGCAAAAGAGAAAAATGAACAGAAGGAGAGATTACAACAATCACCAAACTAATCAAACTGGATACTATCAGCTTGGCAATATGCACCACCGTGCAAGCAGGGCCATACTAGGTCAGCGCATATGAGCAGATCTAGTGCAATAGTTACAGTTTCAAGTGAACAAAATAGCCTTTGCGTAGAGCAGCCTAGAGAATAAAGGCCTTGTCATTTATTGTGTCCCCTCTTACTGAAACTTGAAGTTCCATTTGCTAAAAAAAGGTAACAGCAGAAGTGCAGAACTATTAATTTGTAAGTAGAAAGGCAACAAAAGATTTTTAAAAGGTTGGCATTTTATTAGCACTCCAAAAGCAGTAAATTAGAAGCCATATCAGTTAAAGCCTTACAGAGCAAGATATGTCAAATTACCTCATCTCCTTCATCAGCATATGGCATATTCTCATCAGAATATGGCATATTGTCATGTACAGATACCGCATCTGGTTGTCTTGCTTGGCTGTTATCATTTGCCATGCTTTGAGCAGTTAAAAGCTCCAATCTTTGTGTTTGAACTTCAAGCTTCCGAGTTAAGTCCTTGTTTAACTCCTTTATACCCAAAATGAACAGAAAGGCAAATCCCCCAAGACAATTATAAAGAGAGAAGAACTATTAGTATCCGCCTTCAAACTAGCTGTGAAGATCAAGAAAACTTATGCAAGGAGACTTCTATTGCTAACACTACAACAAAGCTGGCCGGATATTAAGAAGAATGTCTGAGCATGTTGTAGGGGATGGCTATTTAGAAATTAGACATCCATATATGACCAAAGAAACCATGTCCAACTATGCATTTGTAGTTTACTCAAAGATACAAAGGGAAACAGAAAGAAATCCAAAGTTCCAGGTGAAGATCTTAACTACACACAAAAAAAGTGAAGCCGATTAGAATGATGTTGCTGTCTAGCACATGAGTTCAAGTTACCTTCAATGTAGAGCACTGAGATGATTCAACTGACAGGGCTTTTGTTAATTCGTCTTTCTCCAAGGCTAACTGTAGTCATTCCAAGTAGTGCAATATTTTAGTTATTAGTTAATAAATATGCCTTGATTTTTAAGGGAACAAAGATGATGGGACAAAATTAGAGGGAGCAGAAAATGATCAGTCTCAAGGATATCATGCTACCTCAGAAATTAATGTATTAATGTTTTGGATCATCCTAATCTGATCTGGAGGAATGGCTGGTGACAAACTTCCGAGACTAAACTGTCCAAAATCGGGCAGGGAAGATGTGGTGGGGCCATCAATACCAACCAAATTAGTATCATTTATGGTGCCACTTGCAATATTATCTTCACCTGAATGGACACAAATTGAATTCTATGAATATATATAAAGCAAAAGATAATTTTTAAAAAAAAACTGAAAAACAATATGTCGCAGTAATTTGAGAAATCTGAAATACATACGGAGATCCTCTGTAGAAGTTGATACATCTATTTTTGTAGGCATATTCCTGCTAGGATCAACTGACTTTCCATTAGCAGAAGCTATTAGGAATTTGGATTGCAAGAGCTTCTTTTCTGTTTAGAAGAAGACAATAGAGAAACAGAGAGGAATCATTGATTTCATTTCTGATAGTTGGATGTTTTTATCAAGCCTGGGATGCTTATTTAAGAAACTTTAAGGCAGTGAAAATGGAAAAATTGCAAAAATGACACATCTCATGAAAAACGCAAACCACCCTTTTCTCTAGGCACAAGCAGATATAACCATATCTTACCTTCCTTTAAAGCATCGATTGTTGATTGCAGATCTTGACGATCTTTTTCAAGGCTTGCGATTTTCTTTCTGCAAGAAGATAGAGAAAGTTGGATGAGATAAAAACACATCCCAACAGAAATCTGCAGTTTAACGAGAATAAGATTTAATTTTTTTATTCTGATATTCATTCACGCACATTACATCAATGCTAAAACTTTTATGCCAAATTAGTATGAGCTTGTGTACATGCAACTACTCAATATGATTCCCAACTACTTACTTTCAGAGCCACAAATCTTTTAAAGGTATCATAACTAAAAGCAATACATTCTGCTGCCATTTGGCACATCCTTTTCATATTCATAAAACTATTTGTACTTACATCTCCAAGAAGCAATTAAGCCACACAAGTCACCTCCCTCTTAAACCAAAAAGAAAAGAGTCATGCCCACTCTAAAAGGGTGTGATGTCAAAAGGACAGGAAGGAGAAAAACAGAATATAGAATAAAAGGACAACTATAACCAGAACAGAGTTGCATGGGCACATGACAGCCTTGATTAATTTACAGTCTAGCCTCAAACATACTTGTAAGAAGACATTTCAGCTTGTGACTTCTCCAATTCTTTCTCCAGCTTAAGCTCATTAGATCTTAGACGAAGTGCCTACAAAATATTTTAAACAAAAATATAAAGAGCAGAAAAGATAATCTATCTCATTAACAAATTTAAAAAAGAAAAAAGATCTGACCGATAAAAGAGTCTCAAACAGAATGGGAAAAATAAAAAGAAAGAACAGGCACAAAAGTGACTGTTCATATTTTGCTGGCAACACGAAAAAGGAAAAACGAAAAAAAGAACCAACATCCACTTACCCAAAAGGAACAGGAAAACACTGGTTTGACATCTCAAATCCGACTTATAGCTCAAAACCAAACAACTGATGGTGAATACAGAGTCTATAATTCCTTATCTCACGGATCAATCTGGTTAACTTATTTATACACTCGACTCTCACTAACTTATAATTTTAAA